GAAACTTACTTTTACCTATGAAAGATCCAAACTCTTGAAAACAGAACGAGAGAAACATATTCTTTTCCGAGTTCTTGTTTCAGAAATAAAACTTCCGTCTTTGAAAGTATACGTGAGAGCCTCACAATTTTTTCTCCCCGAATAACCTTCTTAATACAGAGGAATATTTTGCTGGAATTCGAATCGAGGTCAAGCAACCGCACGCGATCGACTCTTATACCGTTAGAGGTAACTTGAACCATGAACTATTACCCAACACATACTAACATCGTTAGATAGATTTCTCCTATGACACCATCTCTTGCAACCAAGGCCTTGAACAAAGATTTGATTTGAATTTGTGTAATGTTTCTAAAGGACTAAACGACAATTGTATTATGCAAATGGTTCAGTGCCACAGCACGAGGCGAGAAAAAGGAAAGGGGGAGGTAGGCAGATTTCATTGTATAATACTATTATAATATAACTAGTTACGTAAGACAAGAAACATAAATATCTGCCTAATCACAGTTAATGAGAATTCTACGGGACAGCAAATCATTACGATATTGAAATTAGTTTTGCATGTATGACGTGACTACGTACGAGACAGAACCAGGGCAGTATAAAAAAATTTGAAGGTTAAGGTGGAACACAACATAACTACAACTAAATATATTATCGCATTGAAGTTTGAATTCTCAAGCTGCTCTAGCATTTTATATGCAACTAGTTAATTTATAACCCCCTCATCCCCCCCACCCAACAAACGCACACTTATCAGTACTGATTTGCAGCTCCGTAGACCAAGGGGGATCTCTTTATTTAGAGTAAATGAGACGCACGTCGTTTTATGAAATCAATCGTTTTGTGCTGGAGAAACGCAAGGAAGACCGATAGCAATAAAACATGGATGGCAAAGACGTAGGACATGACATTGACAGTGGCACCTCCCAACCAATCGCCCAAGAGAGTCTCTGTCAACAACGCAATTAAATGTGTTTAGCGTGTCATAAATAAGACCAATGGTTGATATTGCTGAATATGCCCCCCCCCCCAAAAAAAAAAAAACACACACAAAAAAACACCGAATACATAGAGTCAAATCCAACTACTTTGATTGGATTGAATAAGACACAAAAGGAACACATGGCTTCAACAATGACTAGATCTATATAGTCTTTTGAGACGCCATAGGTTCCACATTGATGTATACAATACATTATATATGGAAAGCACTATTCCCACTGACACTGTGGATAGGCCTAGAAACTATTCCCAGTGACAGGCCCAGAAACCACTGGCAATTGGGCCTAGAGCCTCGGCCTAGGGCAGAATTGTTCCCACTGTCACTGGGAATAGGCCCAGAAACTATTCCCAGTGACACTGAGAACAGACAGGCCCATTAGATCTATTGTTTCCACACTGATCTACATGGGCATGATGGTGATGTATTACTAAATACTAGACTATATCTAATGTAGATATAGATTTAGATCTAGATTCTAGCAAGATACTAGATGTAGATCTAGATTCTAGCAAGATACTAGATCTAGATCTAGATTCTAGCTAGATACTAGATCTATATCTAGATGTAACTTAACTAAAGTAGATTTTAGTGTGAGTGGAAGATTTTTCTTTTAAGGAAAAAGGAATGATCATTCTATGCTTGCTTGTTATTCAGTCGTAATTCATGTACGTCTAGATCTAGATCTACCTACGGATTTTGGAGACCACGGTACAGGACAGGTAGAAATCCTTCCCGATTCTTCTTTCTTCTAGATCTAGATCTAGTTCTAGATCTAATCTATAGTCAAGTCTAAGCCCTCAGCATAGATGTACACTATAGGCACTAAAAAAGGGTAACTCTATGGCCTTAGAGAAGAGAACAAAAGTACATGTACATGTATGTACTGAAGTGAGAAGAGAGTCTACAGTCTACGGTGCAGTGCAAAAACTTCTGATTTTTTTAACGCAAAAGAGTTCCGTTGTCACTGGGAATAGTTTCTGTACCTATCCCCAGTGTTACTGGGAATAGTCACTTCGCTATTAATTTTCTATTATGTTATGGCATAATACTGTTTTCGGGACAATTTTTTTTTGACCTAATGAATACTGGAAATAACCTTCAGGTTCACAAAAAGGGCGAAGAAAATAATGGTATAAAAAACAAGATATGTGTTTAAATAGTTCCGCTAAGTGCATATGAAAACCCTGTGTATACAAACAAAGTACATCAAATTAATGATGCACTTTTTCACAAAATCAGATTAAAATAATCATAAACAAATAAATGAGCAGACATGTGGTGTGAACAGATAAGTGCCTTGACGTTATATCACGTTGAAGAAATGAGGGTAACAAAGTCAATGAAGAGTTATGACGATGAAATTAGAAGTAAATAAAGGCAATCATTTTGTTTCATAAACCAACCACCACACCAAGAAAGTTTGTATGTGTCTCGAACTGAGAAATCTGGGGTAAAGCGACGAAATTCCCACTAATCTGTACCGAGCACATGTGAAGAAAAATAATTATTATAATCAGTCTTGGTCACGATTTATAACAGAGAGTAAACAAAGCGCATTGATTTTCCAAATTTTGCACTTATAATATCTAAACGTTTCATAAAAGAAAACCATAATTTAACGTATTAATTTAGACAGAGCTACACCTTTACCTCTCCCTCCCTAACCTGTTAGACAGTATTTTTGAAGGTGTTCACCCAGAACCCCATCCTATGTCCCAGTATCAGAAGATTAGAATTGAAACAATGTACCGAGACTATTGCACACACACACACACACACACACACACACACACACACACACACACACACAC